AGCGGACCCCGCTTCCTTCCTCTGCCTCCTTTCCAACGTTCTTTGGTTCATTTTCAAGGGCTTAAGAAAGGGTCCTTTTCTTTCCCAGATTCCCCATTAAAAAGTTAAGCACAGGTGGCTTCCAGTTCCTCTCCTCTTCTGACATGCGAGTCCAGGCAAGCCCTGTGGCCTGTTGACCTTGCTCTGAGGGAGCCTGCTTGGGACAGAGCGAGATGGGCAAGGATGCCCTCAGTTGCCTGGAGGCAGGAACTGAGACCGAGTTGTGAGGTTTGGTAGAGAAAGGGAGGGATCAGAAGGTGAAACCTGAAAGGAACAAGAGTTTCCTGTGACCTGGAGAGCAGCCTGGCTGCACTGACTCCTCCTGTTCCTTTGCGTCCCCACCCAGGGTCTTGCCATGGTTGTCCAATTGTTTCATGATGATGACTGAAAGCCCTCTGAGAGCTGGACCCTTGCCTTACAAGGCCGGCCTGGGCCTGTCTGCCCTGCCCAGGGCACAGCAGGAAGCTGCAACAAAGGCCAGCCAACTAGGAGATGGAAGGGTAGGGGAAGGTCCTGTGGAGAGGTGGGTTTGGGGCCCGGGAGCAACAGTGGCAGGATGAGAGGCCTGAGAGGGCGCTGGCAGCAGGCTCAGGGAGGAGGGCCTCTGTGGAGTAGGGGGCCAACTTGGGGGGTGAGGACCAGGGACCAGGTTGTGGCAAAGTGACTTCTGAGGATATGGTGGGTGCTCTCCCCAGGGATGGGAGGCCAAGGAGCTGAAGGCACCTCACTCGACATCTCAAGAGACCATGTCAAGGCCTCTGGGGGCCATCGTGGGTAGCAGCCAGGATGAGGAAGGAAAAAGGACAGGTCTGGGTCCATCCAGCTCATCTGGACCCGTCTGTCGGGCTGGGGCTGCTCACTCCCTGTGCCTAAGTCCCCAGCCTACCGTCACTCACATCCCCAAAGGGGCCTTCAGGACCCGATGGGAACCCCTCCTCAGTGACTTGTCCCGAAAGCTGGAATCTGGACCTCTTGGTCCAGCCCTGCTTCCATCAACTTCCTGTTCACATTGGCCAGTTGGTCAGAGCTCACACCCATGGGGACGGACACTTGACAGTCTGTTTCATTTTGGCAACCCTAACCATTGGGCAGTTGCTCTGGAAGGAAGAATCCCACATCAGGTGTGACATGCATCTCAGATGTGCTCTGTGGGCTCCCTTCTGTGAGGAGGTTAGGGCTGGGCTCCTCGGCAGCCACCCCTTCTCTGTGGCCATTATTCTCCACCCCTTAAGCCATCAGTTGCTCTCTTACCCGCTCTGCTGGCAGGGTCAGGAAGTTTCTGGTGATGGAAGCAGCTGCATGAGGACTGGGGAAGGGGAGGGGCCTCTGGGTCCAGGGACACTCCTAGCTTAGAAGTGAAGGACACAGGGCCAGAACAGGTCTGAGACTGGAAGATACAACCCGCCTTAGCTGGAGGAAGAGAAGTCCTGCTTTGCACACAGCCTCATCAGTTCCGTGAGTATGTGTAGCTATTTGTTTATAGTTTGTTTATAGTTGGGCTGTTTCTGGGGCTACCTGTAGACTTGGTAGCACTGGTTGCCTTGCCTCTGAGTTGGGGCATAGGCACTCAAAGGCAGGGATGGGAGGGAACTTTTCATGGCACACCTTTCTATAACTTTTGGGTTCTGAGCCATGTGAATATGTGACCTTTAAAATTTTTAAGTTAAAAATGCAACCCCCCCCCAAAACCCCAAACTCTCTTCTCCATGCCTCCCTGGGCTCCTTTGGGGGGATTAACCATCTTCTGGGGACCAGTCAAGCTGGTAAGGATAGGGGCTGCATGCACCTCAGCCAGCCCCTCAGGGTCCCACCAGGGCTAGCCTCAGGCAAGCTGGCGTCTCCTTCACAGCTCAGGTGCACTCCTCTTTTCTGTGCTTGCTGCTGGTTTCACAGTTCTTCATGCCAGTGGTAACACCATTGGCAGTCCTGCTCCAGCCCCACCTCCCCTCCCACAGGCCCCTAGTCTGTTGACTCGGTCGCCTACCATGTCTCCTTTGCCCCCACCTCCACTGCCATCACATCCTGGATACGGTACGTTGGCTCCTGTGCTGTCTGCGTCGCCTTCCGGTGTGTCCTCCCCATGTGGAGGTCCCAGAGAGCTTCCTGGAATACCAACCTCATCGCACTACTCTCCTGCTTAACTCCCCCTGTAGCTGACCCTCAGTGCTCTGCCCGCACCCCCCTGGGTGCCCTTTTCTATTTTCGTCCACCACGCCCCCTTCACTGTGCTTCCATGGTGGACACCTTCAGTTCTTCTTGGAGGGGGGTCCCTGGCCTCATGAAGCTGCTTCACCCCTGGGCCGCAGCTGGGGCTGCCCTGAGCCCTCACACTCCAGAGCTGTTTGGGTGGTTAGCTTGCTTGTCTACCCCCCAACCCACACACGCGCTGGCCTCCTCTGGGAGCACTTCATAGTAGTATGTCACTCGGCGTCTAAGATGAACCCCTCAGTGAAAGCCTATTGCCCACAACTTAAATTTCAACCACTTGTCTTTACTCATCTTTCTCTCTGGAAATTGATTCCTTATCACATCTGCATTTAAGCCACATCAAAGTTCTAGCTGTTCTGTCACATTTTTATATCTTGGTACCTTTTCTTTTTAAATTAAAAAAAAATTACGCCCTGGCTGCTATTTCTCAGTGGATTGAGCACTGGCCTGCAAATCATAGGGTTGCTGGCTGGATTCCCAGTCAGGGCACGTGCCTGGGTTGAGGACCAGGTCCCCAGTGTGGGGTGCATGGGAGGCAGCCGCACATGGATGTTTCTCTCCTTCTGTCTAAAAATAAATAAATTAAAAAAAACAACCCCCTTCTCTCCCCCCACGCATCACATCTCTGGTCAGTGTCATCTCCTTCAGTTCTGTAAGAGCTGGTTGTCTTTCTACATTCACAAGGCGCTGTGCAGCCTTTATTATAGGGCTCATCTCACCAAATGTAAGTAGTCCTCATGGTGCCTAGCATGGTGCTGGGCACATAAATGTAAATGTTTTAAATGAATATTGATCCTCCAAATGTCCTAAGACTCTCCACTATTAGGCTTTTCAGTCCTGAGTCTCATTTACGCCCAATCAAAATTCACTGTCCTGTCTTCATTATCTCAAAGCACTGTACTCTATTGTTTACGTTGCTAAGATTAATTAAATCTTGTTGGAGGGAAGCAGGATGGTGGACTGTGAAGAACGCTGTTCCTTCTGGTACCCGGGATATCAGAAACTCAAGGTCTAACCACGTGTGGCGTGGGATCCTGGAGGGCCAGTTGGCTCACTTCTTTCACTACGTGGAAGGTGTAGATGACCCTGAGATAGTCCAGGGCTGAACTGGACTTTTGTAGGTGGGGGCCTGGTCTGTCGTAGTCTCTGTTCTCCCAAGACCAAGAATGGTGCCTGGTGCAGAGGATGCTCTTAAATGTTTGTTGAGAGAAGGATGTGGCTATTTCGGTAGTTGTGTATTTCTTGGTGCTAAATATGTTATTTCGTGCAATTCCTGAAGTGGTGGGATCAGGATTTACAGGCAGATTTGGATGACTCTGAAGTGCGTGTTTGTCTTGTAATATCTTGTGGCAATAGGATTTGTTCTATTGGTGGCTTTCAGTGGTGGCTGTAGAAGGCTGCAGGTGACCTCGATGCCCTTATTCTTATTATAGCATACAGGCAACTGCCTCTGCTGTTCACCAACCTTGGGGGACAGTAGGAATTGAGACCAGTCAGTGGGTAACAGGGGAGTGAGGAAATCCTATCACTGTGATCCGAATGGGGTACCTGGGTAAATGGCGGGGTTTAGGTGCACAATGCCAGTCGTGTGCTGACAAGGCCAGCTCCCTCCCTCTCTCTCCCTCAAAACAAAACAAACAAACAAACAAACAAACAAGACACCAAAAGCCAATAAAAACCCCTGTTTGGTAGCTCTTGTTGGTCGCTGTGGTACACGTGCTCTCCCTATATGGCCGGCTTCAGGCAACCACTGTGCAGTCACTACTGCAGATTTGGCAGAGCTGTGCACAGTCGGCCCTCACAAGCCAGTGAGCTGCCCTAGCACGCTAACGGAACAGCAACCAGGCTGTCCCCAGAAAGCCACAGGAAGGGCGCAGCTGCTGAAGGCACTGTGGGCAGCCTCGGGAAGGCTCCGCTCTTACCCTGCCTGTTTGGAAGACTGCAGGTGGTCTTTGCCCCTCTGACTTAACGGCAGCTGTCCCATTAGCTCCGTGGCCATTTAGGCTGCTGGCTGGAAGGCTCTCCCAGAGTGGCCTCAGCTCCTCTTTGGAACACACCCTCTGCTGCCTTGGCCTCAGGCTGGGACAGCCCCCAGAGCAGGCAAGGCAGCCCTGAAGGGCTCTCCAGTTAGTTCTTTGGAAAGTAATTCAGGTGGTATCATCCTGAGAGGAAGGATGAAAGTGTGTTAGCGCCATCAGTTATTCCTTTGCCCCTCACTTGAATTTGGGCTATACTTTCCTCCCAAATTCCAGGCAATCATCACCCTTGAGGACAGCGCCCTCACGGCACCAGGCGCAGCTAGAAGGCAGCAGGCATCCCTGACGAGATGGTGCGTGAGGGGGCAGGAAAGCAGTGTGAGACCGAGGGGTGCCTGCTTCTGGTTGTGCAGGGGCGCTGATCCCCAGCTGGGGTGTGAGGAACAGGCCTTCGGGCCCCAGGGCAGATGCCCCTGAGATGGACCGTTCCCCAGGGAACAGCAGGACCAGCTCTGGAGGAAAGGGGCCTTGTCCCAGTTATGGAGCTCCTGGAGAGCCCAAACATTTTGCATGTCTTTGGCTCTTTCTCTTGAGTATTTAAAACGTGGCCCAAGACAGAATCAGCACTTAAAAAATGTGTTGAAGGAGAAATGAGACCTAATTAGTACTCAGAGTTATTTTTCAGTACCAAGACAAGAAGAAAAATGTAGGGGCAAGGAAAACCAAGGCACAAAGAAGGACCTACAGAGCCCTAAGGCTTGCCAAAGACACACAGCAGAGGCTTCTCTCTTTGTATTGGGCGCATGTGGTACATGGGAAAGGCTGCCCTGTTCTGCTGAGACGGCCCAGCCATCCAGTCCAAATGAAAGGACCAGCAGAGTAGCGACGTGAGCCCAGGAGGGTTAGAACTTGCTTGTGTAGAGCGTCATAATCCACTTGGGCATACGGAGGAAGCCAGGCAAGTAGGAGGCCAGCCAGCCCAGGCTAGAGGCAGAGCGGAGAACCGAACTCAGAGACAAATAGTCATGCACCGGGCGGCCTGAGGAGAACAGGAAAAGAAGAAAGATTACACCCTTGTTTCCTACTCCTTGGACACCTCCACCTGGGCTGAGAACAGGACGTGAGGGAGGAACAGGAAGGGGGCAAGGGAGAAGGAGTGAGGACAGCGGGCAGGCAGGGCCAGGCGGCTGCTGGGCCGGAGCTCTTACCATCCACATCCTGAAGGCCGTAGCGCCGAGCAAGGTCACAAGATGGCAGCACTTTTCCACTCAGGCTCAGGATGTCGGGGTCTGTGGGCACACATACAGCTGAGGTGGCATGGGAGTGGTGCAGGGTGACAAGGCTCGGGCCGATGGGACAGGGCACCACTGAGACAGGCTTTGGAGCCCAGAGTTGTTTCTGTCTGTTCCTAGGAAGGCTCCTGAGACTCTGGCTTCTGGTCATCTGTCCTAGGAGCTAGTTCTTGAAGCTCCCAGTCCTCAATATGGGAGTCCTGACTTTTTGGGTCTCCAGAAGCCAGAGAAAAGAAGGGTTTATTCCTCGACCACCTCCTCAGCTGAAACCTAGAACTGGCTGCCACCGCCCCGCAGACCCTCTAGGCCCTTTCCGTTACCAGCTGCCCCACCTCTTTACCTGTTGCCAGAGCCACCACACATTTGCCACTCATTTCTGGGGTTTCCCCGGATGAGAAACTAGATTTGAGCTGAAACATAGGAGCAGAGAAGTGAAGGGTTAATTTTCCAGAGCACTGCCCACGTCTCTTCCCTGCTTTCAGCTTCTGTTCCAGAACGGAGGCCCTCATCACTGCACCTGTAAAGACTCTGCATCTTGGAAGGTGCCAGAACCACTCCTCCCCACATCCACGTGAGTCCTGTGCTCCAGCACCAGGACCTACTGTCTTTCCTGAGTGGAAGGATCAGGGGAAGCCAACTAAGTTGACCTTCCAGGTTACTATAGTACAGGGGTCAAGACCATGAGCTGACCTTAAGCAAGTTTTTTTTCTCTCTCTGGGTTTCAGTTTCACTATAAAAAGGAGATACTATCTCCCTGACAGGATGAAAGGACAAGACGTGTGCATAGCGCTCAGCCCCATACTCTGCTGCTGTGGTATAATGCCCAGCATCCACTCCTTGCTGTTGTTACTGCCTTGGTGTTAAGGATGGACAGGCTGAGTTCCCTGCATTCCCTGCCACCCTCGGCCTCCCCTCACCAACCTGCTTTAACAAGGGATCCTCGACATTGTCACTCCTCTCCATATAATCTGTCAGCAGTTCTGTCTGCACCAACCCTGGCCACAGAGACACGTAGCTGATCCCATGGCGCCGTAGCTCATGGGCACAGTCAGCAGCCAGCCTGTCACACTGTATGGGGACAAAATTGGGCAGAGTGAGAGCCAGGGCACATGGCCACACCACCTCCCTCCCCTGCATTCCCTGCTTCCACTGAGGATGCCCCAGCCCTGTGCCCTTCCCACGCGCCCTGTCTCAGCTGTCTACCCTTCCTAGTACACTACTGACTCTGGCCAGCAGAGAGGGGCCCAGCTGAAGGAACTGTTCATGGAGGGGGAGAGGGAGAGCATAATGGCCAGCTGGCCTTACCCCTCTGACCACTGGGGATCTACCTCCCAAGGTAAGTGGGTACCATCACCGTTTGGTAGCTCCCTAAGCCCCATGCCACTGGGTCCTCACCGCGGCTTTGCCCACGCCATAGGGGACGTTGAAGATATACTGCATTCCCCCAATGGAGGAGATGACCACAATGAGTCCCCGGCCAGCTGGTACCATCAGCCGTGCCCCATACACTGAGCACAAGTAGTGGCCTCTAAAAGGAGGGGCAAGGAAGGAACACGCCGTTCAGTTCAGTGCTGGCCTGGGTGCTGGAGCCTCAGCAGTTTCCTCTGCCCTCTAGTGGCTAAGCTCAGCCCGGAGACTGCAGCACAGCGGTGGCAGCAGGCCTGGAGAACCCAGGGCTTGAGGCCACCTTCTGAGAGAACACCAACAGAATTACCCACTGAAGGATGAGAAATGACACTCTTTAGAAGACATAATGGAAGAAAAGAGCTCTCTCTCGATAGAAGTAACAAACCTAAAGTAGCTCAGGGGAAAAACATACAAGATCTACATGGAAAAACTAAAATTCAGTCTAACAGAAGAGAACAAGTACAGGCATAATTTATTCAGAAGAATCAACATGTAAAACCTCAGTTCTATGCAGAGTCAGTCAATTTGAGTTATATCTCAATAAGACTTTGGGAGGAACTAACAAAATAATCTAAAGCTCCGTGAGAATAAACATGAGACAGCCGGGAAAGTTCTGAAAAAGGAAGAGTAGTATCCTGTGGGTGGGAAGATGTGCCCCCCCAACCCACTGCCCCTATTAGCATGTGCAGTACCGAATAGTTAAAAGAACGCAGTACTAGTATAATAATACCGAGAGTCGGTGAAACAAAACGGTCAATAATTACATCCAAGTGTAAATGAGAATTCAGTGAACTATAAGGGGAACATTTCAAATCAACGGGGAAAGAGGGATCATTCAGTAAATGAATTTGGTACAACTGGACACTTATGAGGTGGGTGGGATTGGCTGTCCACCTCATTTATGATTTCAAAAGGATAAGTTATTTGAATATTAGAAAATGAACGCGCTAAAGGAAAGCATGACAATGTATCCATGAACTTGAGGTGAGGAACGCTTGTCTTAGAGGCATACCAAGACAGAAAATGTAAAAGACTGACCTATTTGACTTCTTAAAAGTAAGACACACGTATAAACATCTTATACATACATATATGTAAATGATAAATACAGCTATGTGTTTATGTATATCAAGAGCTGGGGAGAGCATGTATGTAAAAAATGAGTAATAAATTGGGGAAAACATTTGTAAACATATATCGAAGGAACCTATTCAACAAAGATCGTTTACAAATGGCCGTAAAAACAGCCCCGGCCCCAGTGGCTCAGTCGGGCAGAGCGTTGTCCTGTACACCAAGCAGGCTCTGGGCCCGGTCCCCAGTCGGGAGCCTACAGGAGGCGGCCGACCGACGCTTCTCTCTCACATCAATGTTTTCTTCCTCTCTTTCTCTACCCCTCTGCCTCTCTCTCTAAAAATAAAAACAAACAAAAAAAAAACATATCCTCGGGTGAGGATTAAGAAAAAAGCTGATGTAAAAATAAATTTATAACACAAATAGCTCGCAAAAGAATAAAGAACCAATGAATACATGAATAAAAAGCTCAAATTCACAAATAATAAAAAGTATGAGTCAAAACCACCTTCGGACCTCTCTGGCCTATCAGAGTGGCAGAGGCTGCCTGGCTGAGTAGCCTGGTGCTTTCGCACAGCTGGAGATGCAAAAAAAGGTATTCGCTAGTATTGTCATAAGTTTATAAGTCGGTGGGGTCTTTTTGGAGGACAGTTTTATAATGTTTATTAAATGTTTAAGAAGCACATTTTTTTTTCAAGAATTCTACCACTGCAACAGATAAAGGCCTAGATAAATTGTGGTACCTACTCAAAGTTGAATATTTAGAAGAATGGTAAAATACTAAACCATCAACACTAGCTATATCTCAGTCAAGGGAAAAATGGGTGGTGATAAGAGAGTGAGATCATACTGATTTTCACATTTTTCCATAATTAAAAAATAATACACAGAAACTTGGTAACCAGAAAAAATTTTCTTTTGCATGGAAAACAGGAACTTCCAAAGGAAAACAAATATAGGGAGCTGTGGCTTTGAAAGCCCAGCCTGAGGTAATGCAGAGGAAGGCACAGTAAATGTTTATGTGCAGGCCTGTGGGGGAGGTGGGAGGCAGTGTTGATGGGCTTCCAAGAGCAAGTGACCTTAACCTTGGAGAATCCATCAAGGCTGGGACTTTGTCTGTAGGCTGAAAACCCTGCCCAGCAAGAGGTGAGCGTGAAAGGCCCCTCTCTTTGTAGGGCTAAGGATGTGGGCGGTACCTATTCCCAGCTGTTTGGATTTTCTTTTCTTGCTTCTAGGCTACCATGGCTCTCTGTCCTCATAACGTTTCTTTTACTCTGGAAATCACAGTTGGATTCTTATTCTGTTCCTTGGGATTGCCACTAGAAGATGTAAATGTTCTTAAACACTTTAATCTTAGATTTGCAGATAATATCTTAGTTACTCTCACAGGTGGCTGGTCACATTCAGGGAGTGTAGTTTCTGAGAGTACCATGGTTCCAAAAATAAAAAACACAGACACTACTGGTATATATCATGCTGAGCGAACTTTAAATGCTGTGTTTCATCTCACTCCTGTGCCGCATGTACAAGTGGGCCTGTGACACCCCTGCCCTCCCAACGCGGACCAGGGAACGCCCTTGCCTGTGGGCCCAGAGTGAGCACTGGAGGCTAAGATGGCTGGCACTCAATCTTTGTTATTGTCCTTCTCTTGATCTAAAACAACAATTTCGCTAGAGGGAGGGGGTATAAAGGAACTAAATGGTAATGGAAAAAAATACGATAAAGATTAAATAAAAAAATAATTTCTTCTAACCATTTTTGGAAATATTAACTATGAGTGGTGTGCATTATTGAGGGAAGGGGGCTCCCTTCTGGGCCATGCATTTGGAGGGGCAGAGAGTGAGGCAGGAAAGAGGCAAAGGGCAAGGTCAGATGAAAATTACTGACAGAAACGAGAGCGAAGTTGACATTCCCAGGTACAGATTCACTTGGATGGAACTTCACCATAGTTGAGTGGAACAGATGGGACAAAAGGGAGACAAAGAGATGGGATATCAGAGGAAAAAGGGGGCACATGGGGAAAGATCTGAACCCTCAGCCTGGATAAGTGAGTGAGAGGAGCCCAGGCCCTTGCAGCAGGGCAGGGGGAGCGCCCACCTGAGTCCTACGTTGTTGATATCATCCCACATGGAAACAGGGCTTTCCCAGAATGCCTTCTTATGGTTATTCAGGATTGTCTGGAAAGCAAAGAGAGAGTGATAAATTAGATGGTCTGAAGGCAGGATGGTATGAGGGCCTGGATCATGGAAGGGACAATGAGTGGGGATGAGGACTCAGGGGTCAGAGTAGGCAGTAGGAGTGTGGGGCTGGGATCAAAGTTCAGAGTACCTGGACCCCAGCATAGGCGTTGTTGACCAGCACATCCAAACGCCCATGCTGTTCTCGATCCACCTGCTCAAACAGGCTTCGCACGTCACTCTCCTGGCTTGAATCACACACCACAGGCACACACCGGCCCCCTCGGGATTGCGCCTGGAGAGAAAGAGGACATGAGCTCACAGTCACTCATGAGTGTAGCCATAAGGCAGCTTTGCTCAATTCCCAGCATGGGAGCTGAGAAGGCCATCACAGGAATCAAAGCCAGCGGCTAAGGGAACACGGCTGGCAACCTCTGCCTCTGATGAGGTCCTCCCTTTATAGAGCCAGGTGGATTGGTATCTCAGGTTTAAAATATACAAACATTTACTGAGGCTGACCATGTGCAAGGCACTGTACTCTGCATGTGGAGGGTATGAGACAAATAAGGCACGGAGGCTGCTCTTGAGAAATGAGTATTCATCTTTTTCCTTGTCCTTGGCCACTCACCTCAGGTGATCTCAGCTCCCAACCTTCACTACTCATGTGGAACCCATACTCAGTCCCAGCCCTCTTACCCTCTCCACTCCACCTGTGCTGCTGCATGGTAACAAAGACATCAACGCTCTCAGACATGAACTGTTTCTACTTCCTGTTCTGCCTCAGCTTTTACAAATGTGCCTCATCCTCTAACTTCAGAAAAAGAAGAGTACCTTATTCTGGAACAAGCCTCCTATTATCTAAATTCACGCTCTGGGTCCAACTTTCTTATTTCCTTGCCTACTAACTGCTCGAATGGCCCCCAGTCTTTCTGCCTTATATTATTTTTCATACTCCAGCCACAGAGTATGAACTATCTAAAATGCAAACCTGTCTTGCCCTGGCTGACATGGCTCAGTGGATTGAGTGCCGGCTTGTGAACTGAAGGATCGTGGGTTTGATTCCCAGTCAGGGCACATGCCTGGGTTCCAGGCCAAGTCCCCAGCTGGGGATGTGTGAGAGGCAATTGATCAAATAGATCAATGTATCTCTCACACATTGATGTTTCTCTCCCCCTTTTTCTTCTCCCCTCCTCTCTCCCTAAAAATAAGTAAGTGAAAAACTTGTAAAACACAGATCTGCTTAAAGTCCTCTAATGGGGTCATCATCTCTTCGATAATAAAGCCAAAGTTCTCCACCTGGGTCTTCCAAGACCCATTCTCTGCCTTGTACTTATATATAAGCTTTGGAATTCTTTCTCACAACATCTACACTCCTTCACTATTGTCCCTCTGCTCGTGAAGTTCCATTAGCTGTATAGTGGTCTTAGCTTCTTTGACCTAACTCTTACCTTCCAAGACGCAGTTCAAGAATCACTTCCTCTAGAATGCTTTCCCTAACTAGCCTCCCATATCATATTGAAACTCACCCTGCGAAGCCAGAGTATTCTGTGCACATTCGCCTCTTAACCACTTACCAAATTCACATTACATTGAAATGAACCATTTCCGCCTCTAGCTAGGCTCTAGCTTTTAAGAGCAGAAGTTGTATCTTACTAGTCTGGGTAGCCCCAGTGCTTCACCCAGTGCCTAGCAAATCAAGCGTGCCCAAGTATTTATTTAACTGAAAGCCAGTAGAAAAGTCAAGTAAGAATGTACAGCTCAATAAAAGTCTTGTCTAAAATAGAGGAAAGCACAGGTCCACAACTCTTTAGATGCAATTCCAAAATCCCTAAAGCTCTCAAACAACCCTTTTTCATAAAACTCATTTGGTAACAAATAGGACCTAATCTGAAGATATTTATGGGATTCATTTATCCCACTTTGAGAAAATATTCACGTCTTATTGAGGAGTGTGAGGGGCTGGGAGGAATGGTTAATAGGAAGGGATCCTGAAGGTGGTTTCTGCCCCTCTGGTCCCAAAGGAAGCACTCACATCCCGAGCAGCAGCCTGCAGCGTGTCCAGATGTCGGCCAGTGATGTAAACTGTGGCACCCGCTTGGCAGAGCTGCAAGGCGATGCCTCGCCCAATACCCCTGGAAGCACCGGTCACCACGCACACTTGGCCCTTCATAGGGGTTGCCATGAATAACACACAAGCAGGGGGGTAAAATCTGCGGAAGCAAAGATATGCTCTGAGGAAAGTTTGCAGATTGTGTATGTGAAGGGGGACCCCCGACAGTGGTAGGGGTTGGGATCCTCGGAGGGGAGAGAAGGTTCAGAGGGGGACAACTAGGTAACTAGGTACAGGCCTCGGGGCAAGGCAGGCAGTCCACTTTGGGGTGTCCAGAAGTGGAAAAGGGGGCTGGGTGGGGCTGTCCAGGGAGGCACATTTACCAGGATTCTGAGTGAGGCTGGCTGGGTGAAAGATTTGGGCGCAGCACTCCCTTGCGAAGCGTCCATGCTGAGGGCTACCTGGAGCTCTGGCCACTAGTCTGGCCTAGCCAGGTTGAGCACGGAGTTTTGGCTTCTGGGCCAGGTTGTGAGCTAAGGTCTTAGGACTTTGAACCTTAACTGGGAGTGTTAGGTTAGGCCAGAATTAGATAAAATTAGCAGGGAGGGCGAGGCAGGCACCAGACTGTCTCAGCAAGGGAGATAGAAAGTACAGAAAGTACAAAGAGTGCTGAACAAGATAAACCGCCTTGTGCATGACCTTATCCTTGCAGAAAAGTATCCATTGTTGCAAGCAGAGAACATAGCCATGTGTGTTCTCTCGAGATAGCCAATTGCTAACAGCTACGTCTGCTTCTGTATTTGCTTGCTTGCTCACCCCAATAAAAACCCCAGGCTGTAAGCGCCAGGCGCAACTCCCATCTGTAGCCATCTTGGCACCGTGTCTCCAGAGACACCCCGAGAGCTTGCCCCTGCGCAGGTAAAACTTTGAAACTTTGGCCAATAAAGTTCCATCATAAACTCCTGAAGGCTTCTGACATTTGCTCGCATTGGGGTATGTTACAGGAGGAGCTTGCGTCCCTTACCTGGCACCTGTGCTGCCTCTAGCGTCCTCGCCCGACCAAACTCGCAGATTGCCCCAAATCGCGAGCTTTGATTCTGGCCACAGGAAGAGACCAGCTGACTACCGCTGAGTCAGAGTACAAGACTAGGATACGAGTCGAATATTTGGGCGGGGTTTTAGCAGGCAAGGCAGGGAGGAGGTTCCTCCAGTCTGGCACTGGAGGCGGGGCCCGTTCCGCGTATACGCCCCGCCCCCAGCCCCTCGCGCCCCCCGCCCCGCGCCCCCAGTAGGCTGTCGCGCGGCTATGACGTATGCTCTGCGTCCGGAGCGCGCCGGCGTTTCTAAACTTGTTCAGGAGGTGGTCCGCGCCTGGCTAGGTGCTGTCCGGCTGCAGTTGAGACAGCTTTCGAGTGCTGAGAGGGAACTAAGTACCCATGGCCCTGGGTCCGCGGTCTCCACATAAGGCCAAGCGCCAGTTCTCACCTGGCAGCAAACGAGGGCGCGGGGCCAAGGGGTCGGGGCGCCCCGCATCAGGCCGTCAGAGACACCCCAGCGCGCTTCCGGAGGGGCGTTCGGAGCCGGTTGTAAACGCGCACCCTCACCTGAGCCCCGAAGCTCTAGGGTATTTCCGCCGGGCTCTGACCTCGCTTAAGGAGGCCCCGGAGACCGGGGAAGAACGAGGTAGGTAGGACCTCCCGGGTGGGACCGAGAGGGACTTGCTGACTATAAAATCCAGTACAGGCAAGGAAATATCCGTGGGTTCCCAGGGCGTGGGGGACTTAAGTTTCATTTAGCATATCCTTTTCCTCACTCCCAGACCTTTGGTTAAGTGGTGGAACTTACCCTTATCCTCCTCTCAGTCTCTGTAAAATCTTTCTTTTCTTGTTTTTCTAGAGCTGATGGTGCACAATGTTTTCAAGGAAGTGGAGGCCCAGGCCCTCGCTTTGGCCACAAACAGGAGTGGCAGCGAGATGCTGCAGGAACTGTTGGGGTTCAGTCCCCTGAAACCTCTGTGTCGAGTACTTGCTGTTCTTCGCTCTAACTTGCGCTTTTTGGCCTGTCATCGATGCGGAGTCCATGTATTGGAAAGTGCTTTGCTGCAGCTGCCTCGATTGTTGGGGAACCCTGTGGAGGAGGAGGAGGTGGAAGTGGAGGAGGAGGATGGGAAGGATCATCCCTTGGACACCCTGAAGGAGCTGGTCCTGGGACTAGCCTCTGAGGTGTGTGATGATTTTCTTTTCTACTGTGGAGACACACATGGCAGCTTCGTGGTCAGAACTCTGCTGCAGGTGTTAGGAGGGACTCTTCTGGAGTCTGAGAGAGCCAGACCCCATGGCTCTCAGTCACCTGGTGAGTATTAGGAGAGAGGGAAGTGGATCTAGAGGAAATGAGAATTTAGGAAGTTCAGAAGGAGAGCCTAAGCGGAAGAGTAATTCTCATGCCCTTGAAGAATTAGTAGAGGAATGAGGACAGGGTTTAGCAGGCCAAAGATTAGGGAAAGGTAAACATGACTCAATGTGCATTTGTATTTATACACATCCTGATTTCAAGCAAAAGATTGGGAAATAATACCCTTAGTACATACAACCCACTCTGACGTTTTTTTTTTCTTTTTTAAATTGTTATATTAAAAAGGTGCTGGTTGAGACCCACTAAATTGATTTCATCATGCACTCATAGGCAGTGACCTACATTTTAAAAAAAACTTTGGGAAAAATTAGATAATTTAGATAAGATCTGATTTTCGAACATCTACATTTCCTTACTGAGGAGTTTGGACTATCCTCATGGACCATGGTGGAGCTGGTTGAAGTTTCTTAGAAAAATAAAAACAAGTGTGTAGAAGACACATTCAGCTGAGTTCTACATCTCTAAGGTGAATCCTGGTTCATCTATGGCAGTGATTTTCAACTGGTGTGCTGTGACACACTGGTGCACCGCAAGAATTTTTAAACCATGCAGTGCCTGACTATTTAGTCAGGGACACTGAACTCTGTTCCCTTAGACTGTCAAGTTAAAACATGCTAACAACCAATGCAGCAATAACTGTCCAGTGTGAATGAATCAAAGTTAATACTTTTTTTTGTCAGATTGGCAAAAAAATGTATTGTTGGTGTGCCACAGAATTTTAGTAATTAGTTTATGTTCTATGAGATGAAAAAGGTTGAAAATCTTTGGCATTCTTCTCCCTCCTGGATGCTGGTTTGTAATCTCACTGCTGTGCACATTCTTGATCTTCCTTCAGAAGCACGAAGGGCCCCAACCCGGGAATATAAGCCAGCTGCTTTTGAGGTTCCTGAATCCTTCTTGAATTGTCTTCAGGACCTGAGCTCCTGCTTTCTGAAAGACATTGCTGGTAAGGAGAGAATAGGAGGAGGGCCCAAGATCTCTCTTTTTGGAGGTGATTATCTTCAAAAAAGGCCCTTCCTGAGATCAGTTTCCTTTTTCAATCTGACCTGGTTTGGTGTTTTAAAGACTATAGAACCTTTGTCTGTGGTTCCTTGTACCTTGTTGTTCAGTGTTGTATGAGTCGTCTGAATTTTAGGAAAGTTGCTTTTATTATTTGTGCTCTTTCCCCACAGTGTTTATCACTGACAAGATCTCCAGCTTCTGCTTTCAAGTGGCCTTGCAGATTTTACACCACAAACTGCCCCAGTTTTGTGCCCACCTGTGTAATGCTGTGATTGACTATCTGAGTAACCGCAGTTCTTCAGCAGATGGCAGGTACAGTCAGGGCCTAAGGGTTAACCAAGACTGGTGGGGCTATGTGAAGTGAATGAGGTGATTGGGTCTTTTGGGTGGAGTGAAGACTAGCTTCTTTTCGCTTTCAGCCCCCTACTGCTCTTCCTGCGGGATCAGACGAGCTCCAGGCTCCTGGAGCAGGTGCTGCTGGTGTTGGAGCCCCCAAGGCTCCAGAGCCTTTTTGAAGATCACTTCCAAGGGCAGCTGCAGACCCTGGCTGCACATCCTATTGCCAACTTCCCTTTACAGCGTTTACTAGATGCGATCACTACCCCTGAGCTGGTAAACCGGGAATTTGCCTGGGTCTCCTTTTGTATTCCGTTGTTTTTATTCTTGTTCATTGGGCTTTATTTTATGGTGTGTCCCTCTCTATATCTCTGGCTGTGTGCAGGCTATTCCCCTTGAAAAATTATTCCTGGATGTTTCCCAGAGCTTAGGGTGAAGGTGCCTTCTTCCCAGAAAGGATTTGCTTTGGCTTCACCCAAATGCCAGTGCCAGCAGGAGACTGGCTTAATCTCAGTTAGCAGCTTGAGGTTCCATGGTCCACCCAGACTTGGTACTTGGCTAAAAATCCAAATGAACACTGGAGCTGTTGCCATAGCTTCTCTTTCCCTTTGCTGTTTAGTGCCAGGGCATGCTTCCCTGTGTGTTGTGGGTTGGGAGTTAGGGTGGAAGGACAGGTTTGAATCTAGTTCTCCTTCACCCTGAAAGTATGGTCTTTAAAGTCCCCTCCCTATGTGAGGTAGCTCCTCTAAGACGGCCCCCTTGTCCTAGACCTTTCTTATCCAACCAAACCAAAATCCTGACATTGGCAGTGCTTATATGTTTTCTCTAGCACTTTTAGTTGTTTTTGGCAGAAAGATTTCTCTGAATAACTTAGCCCACAATTACCAGAATGCCAAGAATTCTTTCTTTGATGTCTCCCCTTAGCTGTCCCCTGTGTTTGAGGAACTGAGCCCTGCCCTGGAAGCGGTGCTGGCACAGGCTCACACAGGGGTAGTCATTGCCCTGGTGGGAGCCTGCCGCAGAGTTGGGGCCCACCAAGCCCAGGTCCTGCAGCTGTTGTTGGAGGTGAGTGGGGTTCCTGCAACCCATTTATGCCATCCCTTCAAATTCTACCCTTAGGACTTACCAGATCTTTAGACATTGTGTCTCTGGACCCAAGAGATTTAATGCCCAGGGGAGAATGAGGCCAAAGCCATCCCATAGCCCTAGAGTGAAAATTGTCTCCCAGAACATAGAGAAGTTTATTTAAGGACTAAATATATATTGACCCCTGGTACATATGTACATTATGGGGGTACATCGGGGCAGACGAGACCCTGTCCTTATGCAGCTTACATTCTTGTGGGTGCAGGCATTCTCACTACACCTGAATCTTTTTCCTTGTCTGGAAAGTGAGGGTTAAAGTCAGTTCTCAGATTCATTATGTTTTGTCTTCTCATCTAGGCATTCCACTGTGCAGAGCCCTCTTCTCGGCAAGTGGCCTGTGTGCCCCTCTTTGCCACTTTGATGGCTTATGAGGTGTACTATGGACTGGCGGAGGAGGAAGGGTCAGTGCCTGTGGAGCACGAGGTAAGCGGGCAGAGCCCAAGCTGGTGACTGACAGGGGACAGGCCCAGAGAGGCTCCGGAAGCCTGTCACCACAGAGGTGAGGGCGGCAGATCTCTGGCTTCCTCCAGGAGGCACTTTGGTGGCTGCCTCCTGACTTCTCGTCTCTGTCCTCAGGTTAAAATGGCCACAGCCAGGGCCCTGGGGGAAGTGACAGTCCTTGGATCTCTACTGCTTCAGCATCTGTTGCACTTCTCTTCTCCTGACCTTGTACTTCAAAGTCTGGGTGCCTTGACGGGACCACAACTACTGACTTTGGCCCAAAGCCCTGCTGGTTCCCACGTGCTTGATGCCGTCCTGACCAGCCCTTCTGTGACACGCAAGCAGTGCCGCCGTGTGCTCAAGATGCTAAAGGTTAGAATTCCAGATTCTGCTTTGATTCCTCTTCCATTTTCCATTTAAAGAACATGCGCTTCCCCCAGGACTGTTCTTCAGAGTCAGGGAGGACATGCCTTTCCTAGACTCTGTCGACTCAGCCTCTGCACTTCTGAAGCTTCACTCCCTCCCGCCCTCCCCAACACATTTTCACGGACTGCCCTAGAGGGACTTAGCTTGCTTGTCTCAATACAGGGACAGTACGTGGCTTTGGCTTGTAGTCGCCATGGCAGCCGTGTGCTAGATGCCATCTGGGGTGGAGCAACCTTGGGTGCCCGGAAGGAAATTGCTGCTGAGCTGGGTGAGTACCAGCATGTCTCTGACCTTTTCAGACTTTCTCTTTCCTTATTCCAAGTAGCTGGGAGGCTGGAGGATGGATTTAAATTCAGCAGAGACTGTAGTTCCAAAGGGTGGACTTGGCTGTGGTGCTTAGTAGCCTGCTCTTCCCTACCCTTCTGCTGATTGTGCAGCCCCATACTCCTACCCCTCCTCCCAGCTTGTTCTTTGGAGAGTGAGGGGTTAACTCCATCTCAAGGCAGGCCCGGGGTCCAGGGAAATGGAGGGACCTTCACCCCAAGTGGACTCTCTTTGAGCATGGGTTCAGTACATTCTGATATTGAACACGAATGGTTCCCTTTGCAGGGGAGCGGGATCAGGAGCTGATAAAAGACCCCTTTGGCCACCATGTGGCACGAAACGTGGCCCTGACTACTTTCCTGAAGCGTCGAGAGGCTTGGGAACAGCAGCAGGGAGCAGTAGCCAAGCGGAGGCGGATTTTGAACTCAATTCTTGAAGACTGAGGCCTCGGGATCTGGGAGTGGGTGTAGATGGGGGAGGGAGAAGGGGAGTGTCTGTCCTGTCCCCTTACTAATTTAAATTGGTGTCATTGAAGTCAAGAGTCTTATTGGTAAACATTTTTCTATTTTATTGGAAATGCCTTTGTTATTCCTGAGAAGGGTATGAAAAAATAGAGATCTCAGAGTGAAGCCCAGGACGGCTGTCTTCACTGCACTGGGAGCTCAGGGAGAGGAGCCGTTTGAACATCTAGAGGTAGCAGCAGTCAGGGTGGCATGAACATGCCTGAAAAGCCTGTGGCCTTTCAGGGTGGGTGGGAGGCTGAGAAGATAGCCAGGAAGCGACAGCATTCTCCAGGAATGGGACTAGGCTAGCAGTGTAAGGCATGCTGACGGGGTCAGAAGACAGTGGGGAAACCAGGGGAGTTACCTAGTCTGCACTGTCCACAGGTTCCTGGGCCTAATGTCGCAGTCCCTACAGGCGTCTGTTGGAATGAGTCTAAGGGCAGTAGCTCCAAGCCCCTTCTCAGTAAGGATGAAGGCGACCTCGCTGCTGCCACTGCCCAGCCCCTTCCACTACTTGGCGAAGGGTAGAGGAAATTCCCAGCAATACATGGCCCAGGCCTTGCAGCAGTGTGGAGGTCCACCGGAGGAGCTCCCTGAAGGGCAGAGACAAAAGGCAGTCAGATTGCCAGGAGGAAGTATAGAGGTGGGGGCTAGGGGCTCACAACAAGGGAGAGCTGATGGGTTAGGTGCGTGCAGAACTACAGGACTGCAGCTGTAGAGTTGCGGAAGTAAAACATGCTGGGCTCTGACCTGAGTACTTTCTTTGGGCCGAGTCCTTGAATGTCACAACTCATGGAGTAGAGCCCATAGAATGTGGCCTTGATGTTCAGGCTCCCAAAGAGGTCTCGAGGGTTTTGCTTGTACACGTCAAAGGTGATGCGGGCGATGTCCTTGCTGTGCTTGGGCTTCTCCTGGCCCAGGCCGAGTGACAGCATCCCGCTCTATAGGGCAGGCACCCCACGAGTGCAGTGGACCCTCACTTACCAACAGCCAGTGTTAATCCCCACCCGTAGTGGGACAGACCCACCCTCGCCTGGACTGGGTCCACAGTAAGTTGTTCTTGATAAATCCTTACCTCTCTTGTCACCCCCCTGCCTCCCAGGGTTAGGGAAGAGGAGAGGCTTGGTGGCCGATAAAGGCTTGGTGGCCGATAGCAGCCCCAGGACGAGCCTCTTACCCTGCTGGGACTCCAGCTCTGCCCACACTCCAGCACCATCAGGCACGTGTCATCCTCCAACAACTGGAAGAAGTCTTCGCTCTCCACCGTGGTCCCATCCTCCTCCAGCACCAGGGTCAGCGCTCCACTCAGCAGTAGGGCCTCCAGTGCCTGCCCCGGGGCAAAGCAGGAGGGAGTGGCAGCGCTTGCCCCTGCCCGCCTGCCTCCAGCTGCCCGGCATTCCTTGGGTGGCCCGACACTGACACCCCAACTCTGCTTCCTAGTGTTTTGCCATCCCTTCAGATGTCTCTGGGTCTCAGTGTTCTTTTGCTGGGGGACCCTCACCAGGAGCTGACATTTTTTTCCAGTTTCCCTCAGTTTGCTCCTACCACGTCATTGTCACCTCCCCCGCTCTCCCCCAGGCCACTTCTGGTTTGGGATTGAAAAGTTGGCAAGGGCCCTGGTTGGGTGAGTCAGGTGGTGTGCATCGTCCCACACACCAAAAGGTTGCGGGTTTGACCCCTGGCCAGGGCACACCTGGGTGGTGGGTTCAGTCCCCAGGGGTGTGTATGGGAGGCAACGACGATGTTTCTCACATTGATATTTCTCCCCCTCCTCTCTAAAATCATGTACACCCTCGAGTTAGGACTAAAAAGGAAAAAGAAAAGCTAGCTAGGTTGTGTTGAGGTCCATCCTTTGGGAACAGGCACAGGGTGGGGGTGCAGGGCATCGTGCTGACGGGCCTGACCTGAGGGCGTCTCATCGCTCAGCCCCCCCCTCCCGGTCCACCCTCCGGAGTTCTCCACAGCAGTTTTCAGTAATGACCACAGTCTTGAGTCTTCACGGGTGCCAGGTATCCATGTAGCAGTTTATATACATTATCCTCTTTTATTTCTTCCAACCACCCAAGGAGGTTTATTATTCCCCTTTTATAGTTCAAGAAATTGATGTTTAGATAGCGTAAATCACTTCCCAAGGTTTGACACTAAGTGGTGGTATCAGGATTTGAACTTAAATTGTTACACAAGTCCGCATGCCATACTGACTTCTAAATCTGTCCACCCTCTATCTACTGCTTCCCCTATCCCCAAAGAAAAGCTCACTCCTTGGGGAAAAAATAGATTGACCCAAATGCAGAAGGGATTGTTGCCCTGCCCCCCCCCCCCCCCCCGCTTTAGTTATCAGAGGGAAGGACACTGTGCAACCTCAGCCCTTTCTGCAGCTCCTTCCAGCTTCTCACTCTTCTTGCGCCCCTTGGCTGCCTCCAGGATAGGAACCCAGGGGCCTGGCTCACTCACCTTGTCTAGCAGTTCCTCCCGGGTGGCAGCTGTCAGACCTTTCCGGGTGGTCCGCTTGTGATCACAGACACGGAAAGGTCGCTGAGGTGGTGAAGCTGAGGTCCAAACCCTACGGCCAAGCTCAGAGCTCATGTTGGATACTGACCTGGTAGTTCGGAAAAAAAGTCAAGAAGGAGTGAGGGGTTTGCTGAGTGTCATGGGGATGATGGGGGTGGGGTGGCTGGAGAGTTAGGGAGGGAGGGGTTTAGGTTTTTGGATTAGAGTAGCCCAGGGAGAGACCCTGGAGTGGAGGTGGATGGTGGTAGTTTGGAAACTGGACAAGCCCACTGTGGAAAGTTGGAGTGGGAAGGGGAAGGGGTACAGGTTCATGAGTTTCCTAGTGGCCGAATGGAGTTTTGTTGGCCTGCTCCTAACCCCCAGAGTCGGAGAGTGAAGAAGATGAGCAGTCACCTGAGTAGGCCACTGGGCTTCAGGGCGGAGAGGTACTCCATGGTGCAGGGAAAAAGGAGCGTTCTGGGCTAGGTCGTTCTCCGCTGTGCTGGGCTGAAGCAGTGATGATTTCTGTTACAGAGCTGGGACCTCAGCCCCAGTGAGGTGGGGGATGAGTCAAGCCTGGACTCTGGCCCCTAGCCTGGCCTGTAAGGAGGTCAAAGTCCAAGGGGAGGGAGAAGAGGAGGGGCCTAGACGGGGTCCTATGGGGAAGATTAAAGCACGGAGTTGCCAGGCAAAAGCCAAAGAAACTTTCTGTGGGTCTGTCTCCGGTGGCAGCATGTGATGTGAGGGTAAATGGGAACTATGTGAAAGGATGGAATGTGACCTCTGGTGGTTTTCTTTGTATGAATCTAATTTCTAGGTATAGAAGCTGCATTATGTGATTTGTGACGTACATGCTGCCACCTACTGAAACACCTGTAAACTTCAGCTTTAGGAAAGGGGTGGCTGGGTTGAGCTTGGGATCAAGGGCAGGGCTTAGAGAAAGGGGAGGTGAGGCAGTGGGTCTGGGCGGGGTATGAGAAAAAGTTGGGCCCCCATCCGTGGCCCACCAGGCTCCGGTCTGGGACTCCGGCCCTCCTGCTTTCCTGCTGTGTCCTTTCTGGTCTAGAGGAAGCAGTTGGCTCAACATTTCTTCAGTTCAATTCTGCAGAACTGCCTGCTTCAGCCACACTGGATTAGCTGCTTTCTCTCTCACCTTCCCGCTTTGGCCACATAATGGGCATGAAGTTCATGTGAAAGGGGAAGGGGTCCTTTGATGAGATCAGGACTTTAGCTTTTGATGTCCCATCTCTGATCTCAGCTGCAGTTGTGATGGGCAGTTCAGACTCTCACCGGCAGTGAACTCCTCACATGAGAGTAAGTCCCTCTGCTTTCCTGCCTAGAAGTCGTCTGAAGCTGTGGCAGTCCAGTCTGCACCCTGACGAGGGCGGGCTACAAACCCGTGTAACAGTGTCCGTGCTGCTTCTTTCTGGAAGGCATTCTCTGCATTCTTAGATGCCCCTGATGCCTACGGAAGGAGCTCCATAACACTCACTGGCTTTCCTCTTCCATCTCTTCTGTTCTCACTCCTGCTTCCCAAGCTGATCTCCCAAATGTAGGGTTACCTGTACCCATGCCCTTAACTCACACTTTGCTTTGGAGGGAACCCAAACGGAGATGATGTTAGTGTCCTGGTCCCAAGGAACCCCCGGTTCTGGCTGTTGACTGACACAGGTCTTTCTCCTCCTTTCAACTTTATCAATTTACTAAGTCCTCTCAAATTTTCTCATTTCTCACCTTAGCCTGACCTCTCCACCCAGAGAAGGCTTCTTTTCAGCATGTCTTCCTTTGTTTCTTGTCTTGTATCCTGGTGCAGCCTAGCCATGTGGTCTCTTCAAGGTCGTGTGCTGTAAACCCTAGGCAGGTTACATGCCCCTTACACCTCCGTGCATCCCCCATTGCCCCACAGACCTTAGCACCACGCTTCACACTGAGAGCTGTCATTGACAACCAGCGAGAGACCTGAGGGTGGGGTGACTGGGTGGGGCGGGTCGGAGCCAGAGCTGGGGGGTCAGGATTCAGCAGTGTGTCTACTCATTCACTTTCATGACCAGGGAACCGCACCTGCACCCCTTCAGCTTTTCCTTTTGCCTGGGAGGCAGTACCTCACATGCCTGGACGTGTTAGTGATGGGAAGGAGTAGGGTGAGGGAGGTGCCCCAAGAAAGGCCCCACCTTACCCCTCCCCATCCTCGCCTCACTCTGCAAACTTAACAGGCAAAGGTCAGGAGCAGGCACCTACCCTAGCCCATTGCTGCTTTGCCGTTCAGCCTCCCCAGGCCTTTTGCGGGCCCTCACGCCGCTAGCTCCCAGCTGGGTAAGTAGATCTGCCTAAGTGCCCTTACTTTCCACTGCTCACTTTTGCCCTGAGGTGTAAAGAATGGGGCTAGACAAAGAAGGGTAGAGGAGTGCAGGTGGAGGTGCTGACAGCCTGAGAGTGAGGACCGGGTGGGTCAGCTGACTGAGAGTAGGGCATTTGGGTTCTAAGAAGACGAAGTGTTTTGTGTTGGAGCTGGGGTCCCTGAGGAAGTCGAGGCTCCCAGACAAAAGAGTCAGACTGCAGAGAACTGGGAGAAGGCACGGTTCCTTCTCACCTGGCATCAGGGACACCGTGGGCTTTTACCCACCTCCTGAATGCACTCCGTGGCTCTTTCCAGCCCCCGTAGGTGCAGAAGGATGACGGACTGCTACCGCCCCCCTGGGAACGAGACTCTGCTGAGCTCCACGGCCTCACGGGCCACAGGCACCGCCTTTCTGCTGCTGGCAGCGCTGCTGGGGCTACCCGGCAATGGTTTTGTAGTGTGGAGCTTGGCGTGCTGGCGGCCTGCTCGGGGGCGACCACTGGCGGCCACTCTCGTGCTGCACCTGGCGCTGGCCGATGGTGCGGTGCTGCTGCTCACACCGCTTTTTGTGGCCTTTCTGGTCAGGCAGGCGTGGCCGCTGGGCCAGGCGGGCTGCAAGGTCGTGTACTATGTGTGCGCGCTCAGCATGTACGCCAGCGTCTTGCTCACCAGCCTGCTGAGCCTGCAGCGCTGCCTCGCCGTCACCCGCCCTTTCCTGGCGCCCCGGCTGCGTAGCCCGGCCCTGGCCCGCCACCTGCTGCTTGCAGTCTGGCTGACCGCTCTGTTGCTCGCCGTCCCAGCCGCCGTCTACCGTCACCTCTGGGGGGACAGCCTGTGCCAGCTGTGCCACCCGTCGCGGGCCCACACCGCCATCCACCTGAGCCTGGAGACTCTGACCGCTTTTGTACTGCCCTTCGGGATGGTGCTCGGCTGCTACAGCGTGACGCTGGCGCGACTGCGGGGCGCCCGTTGGGGCTCTGGGCGGCAGGGCACGCGGGTGGGCCGGCTGGTGAGCGCCATCGTGCTCGCCTTCGGTTTGCTCTGGGCCCCCTACCATGTGGTCAACGTTGTGCAGGCGGTGGCCGCGCTGGCTCCACCCGAAGGGGCCCTGGCGAAGCTGGGCGGCGCAGGCCAGGCAGCACGAGCTGGAACTACAGCTTTGGCCTTCTTCAGCTCCAGCATCAACCCGGTGCTCTACCTGTTCACTGCAGGGGATCTGCTGCCCCGCGCAGGCCCCGGCTTTCTCACACGGCTCTTTGAGGGCTCTGGAGAGGCCCGAGGAGGTCGCTCTAGGGAGGGGACCTTGGAGCTCCGAACTACCTCTAGACTCAAAGTGGTGGGGCAGGTTCGGGGCAATGGCGACCCAGGGGGCGGGGCAGCAAAGGAGGGTCAGGAGGGGGATCCTTGACACCAAGCCCTGTTCTGCCTTATCCCCTTTCATCACCCCTCAGAACTCAGAGAACCACTCCTGAGCATTTGGGAACCCTCTGACTAGTTTGGATCTGTTGAGGCAGAGCTGTTATGTGCCTGGAGCAGGCCCAATTTCCTCCAAACTGAGGGATTGTGTGGGGTGAGGGTTCATGTTAATGAATGTTGGGCACTTGCAGGTTGGCATGTGCCCATGTGCCAGCACTACTAACTTGTTGCCAGTACACATTGTGAAAGACGTCGTGCAGCCATTACGCCATGGCTGAAGCGTGTTCTGCCTGGTGGTTCAGCATGCCTGAATTTCAGGGGAGCCACCTGGTTTCCCTGCTGGGGCAGGCCAAGTCTGGGCATGACTAGCCTTCTGTGGCATCTTGACCTGTCCTTTCCAGCCCAGGTGGCCTGGTTCCCTCAGGCCAGCCCATCCAACCACTCTGTAAATAAAGGGAGAAAGGAAGGAGAGGTGTGCACTTGCATGTAGGGTGGGGATGGGATCCGTCCTCTGTGGTCTGGAAGAGCCAAGTGGGAGGAAGCTGGCTCTGGAAGGTGAAAGTCAGTCTACGGAGTTTGAAAGGGAAGTTTTCTGTCTGTCTGTCTGTAATGTGTTTGGCCCAGCGAGGGAGGGGCCCTGGGGGGTCTGAGACTCATCTTCTTCTCTGAGGCCAACTCTCCCCTCAAAGGTCACCCAACTCAAAAGGGAGCCCAGGAGCAGGCCCTCGCTCTCCCAGAGGGTATCTGCGGTTGGACGGGAGGCAGTATGAGGAATGGTGTGGGAATCTGGAGGCAGAAAGAACTTTTCAGGGCGGTGCCACCTCTCCTTTCTCCTGTTTCTCTCTGCCAAGTCTTGGCTCTTCCCAAGACTGCTGGCTGTTCCTTACCTGCTAGAACTTCCCAGTACTCCCCAGCCCCCATCGTTTGGAATCTCTTTATATCTAGGCCTCAAAGTTACTCTGGATCCTGACAGTTTTGAGTGTTGGGAGTCAAGATGGGATTCCTTTTGGGGGACATTGCTGTGTACACACATGTGGTCACTAGGGTGACCAACCCGACCTGGTTGGCCCAGGACTTTCCCAGTTTTAGCAGTGGAAGCTGCTAAAATTTAGCTCTTATTCCAGACCCCTCAGTCTCTGGCAAACCTAGATGTCGGTTATCTGAGTTCTGGGCAATCTGACCACTACCCCAGGTCCTGCTTTAGTGACTGTTCACACCACCTAGGCAGAGGCCAAGAGAGAGCAAAGGAAACCCAGTCCTCAGGGTCAGGGTCACACCAGGGCCACCAAAACAGGTTGGGGGTGGAGCTTTGGGCTTGAGGGCAGGTATGTGCAGAGTGTCTAGCCCAGGTTGGAGGAAGAAAGGCCACTGGCAGAGATGTGGGGGGGAAGCAGCTCAGGAGAGGAAGAAAGACAGTTTCATTTGTGTCAGAAGGAAGGGGTCTCTGATTGACCCCAGAGCTTTGAGTCAGAGCTTCTATACTGATACATCGACTGTCTTCATGCACTGGGGGAGAGGATCGCCAACTTCCTCTGTTACATATTCCCTGTCTCACACGCTGTCTGTGGTCAGAAAGTCCTTTCTCAACCCTGCCTGCTTGCTGTGGTTTCAGACCATTTCTTTTCATCATATCCTCTACCTGACAGCTGCTGGGTGAACTCTGCTTTGGCTTTTCTCAAAGAAGAGAAAGTGGGAGGCACCATTACACTGCAAATTTCCGGAGAGTGGGAGAGTTGGAAGGGAAGCAGGAGGTCAGACTGAAGGAAAAACTTTCCAGCTCTTAGCTCCTGCAGGAGAGTTCAAGGAAAGGAGGAAAGGGGAGAGTGATCCTTTTTGGGGGGCTGTTTCCTTTTCCACAGCCCTGGTTTCCGGTCTTGGCAGGGCAGGTATCACTGCCCCCATCCCCTCGTTCCTGTTCCCCATGCTCAGCATCTATTTCCTGTGTGTGTTGAAGGTGGGACTGGACAGTAGGCTGTGGGAAGGCAGGAACAAGGTGGTACTGACCTCCTTGTCCAGTGCCCAGATCTTAAATCCAAACTCATGTGTCAGGGTAACCATGTGGGCAAGCACAGGGCAAGCGGTTAGGGGAAGGGGAAGAAATTGACATTCTGTGTGATGGGAAGGAGACCCTTTGGACTTTGGCTTCTACCAAGAGAAGGGAAAATTGATTAACCTAGGATGGAACCAACCCTCTTAAATGAGGGGAGGGCCTGGGTTGCTAGAAGATGGACTTCTCCCCTCAACTCCACTCATACTTGAACTTACAGCAAGGACAACTTGCTGACCTCTTTAAGTCATTTCATAACCCAAACCTCAAACCTAACCACAGTTCTAACCTACGTTTACTATTAATCTAAAAATCTACTTGTTCACCCAAAATCTACTCAACATTCTGCCCTCGAATTCTGAACCCATTTCCTCTCTCTGGCTTCCCTCCCTCCTCCTCCCATATGACACAGTTTATTACAGTGTTCAGTTATCCAGTCTAGACCTGCATATGAGGCCACACCCCAGCCTACTCACTCCTACACCCTTTTCTCTCTCACTGCCCCTTCTAGGGCTCTTCTCTTCTGGTCCCTCCCCTGAGGGTCCTCCTCTCTGCTGGCCTCTTTGGAACACAAAGAATATCCCTCCTTCTAGTGAAGGGAGCGGGACAGGAGTTTCAGCCCCACCCTCAGGATGCATCTTCCCCCTCCCCTGTGCTGTGGTACTTCCTCTCTGGCTGACTTAGCTGACAGCATCCAGACCTGGAGCCAGGCCCCCAGCACTGAGACAGAGCTGGGGATAGGCTACACCACTCTGCCCTGACCCTGCGATTGGCACCAGCGTCCGACCAGTGCCCAGCAAAGCCTGTGAGTAAGGATCCTGGGAGTAGAGGAGGTGCTGGAGGGGCGGGGTGCAGCCACAGGAGAAGGTCCAACGGAATTTCCGAACAGAGCCTGACCCATGGTGAGAGGACTTGGGAGGATTTGTACTTTTTTCCATGAACTCCTTCCCATCCCTGTTACTCCTGGTGGAATTTGGGCATCTCTGGGGAGAGTGGGTAGGGAATTGGAGGACATCAGTGGGACTGAGGGGGCTAAGGACCTGGCAAAGGATAGAGAGTAGTTAGTCTTCTGAGAGGTGCCACATTGGTAAGGAAGTCCCCCACCCCTAGTTTGGCTCTGGGTTTGAGGGTCTTCCGAGGAAAAGAGGCTGAAAGGGTCTGGAAATGCTACCGCTGCTGTTACCGTGTATTTTGCAATTGGGTCTATGCACAGGAAGGGGCCCTGTGGCCCAGTTAGGAAATTAGTCTTTCTTCTCAGCCAGATCTCCTAAGACAGGTCAATTGGTAGTAATGAGGGCAGTGCATTGCAAAGGTGCATCTGCTGGTGCTGGTTTGGAGAAAGACAAAGAGGATTCAGGCTGTGTGTGTCCAGGGTGCCAGGAAACCCTTGAACCCCTACCCTCATGCGCATGTCCACCTTAACCTCCAGATCCTTGCCATGGCCACGAACACTACATCTCCTGCAGCACCTTCCTCACCAGGCGTCGTGTTCATCTCTCTGCTGGCTATCATCCTACTGTCAGTGGCTCTGGTTGTGGGGCTCCCTGGCAACAGTTTTGTGGTGTGGAGCATCCTGGTCAAGATGCGAAAGCGTTCTGTCACTGCTGTGCTGGTGCTGAACTTGGCCCTGGCTGACTTGGCCGTATTGCTCACTGCCCCCTTTTTCCTCCACTCCCTGGCCCGAGGCACCTGGATTTTTGGAGTGGCTGGCTGCCGCCTGTTCCACTATGTTTGCGGAGTCAGCATGTATGCCAGTGTTCTGCTTATCGCGGCCATGAGCCTGGACCGCTCGCTGGCCGTGGCTCTCCCCTTTGTGTCCCAGAAGATGCGTACCAAGGCGTTTGCCTGGCGGTTGCTGGCAGGCATCTGGGTGGTATCATTTCTGCTGGCCACGCCCGTCATCGTATACCGCACTGTGGAACTGAAATACGGGAACCTGGTCTGCTTTCCAGTATACCCCAGCGAAAGTCACAGGGCCTTCCATCTGCTGTTCGAGGCCATCACTGGCTTCCTGTTGCCCTTCCTGGCCGTGGTGGCCAGCTACTCAGACATCGGACGCAGGCTGCGGGCCCGGCGCTTCCGCCGCAGCCGGCGCACGGGCCGCCTGGTGGCGCTCATCATCCTGGCCTTCGCCGCTTTCTGGCTGCCCTATCACCTAGTGAACCTGGCTGAGGCTGGCCGTGTGCTGGCGGGCCAGGCAGGGGTGGGGTCTGTAGGGCAGCGGCTGCGCCTGGCCCGCCATGTGCTCATCGCTCTGGCCTTTCTGAGCAGCAGCGTGAACCCCCTGCTGTATGCATGCGCAGGAGGTGGCCTTCTTCGTTCAGCCGGTGTGGGCTTCATCGCCAAACTGTTGGAGGCCACTGGCTCTGAGGCGTCTAGCACCCGACGTGGGGTCACATTGGGCCAGACTGTGAAGGGCGCCCCCACCTCTCCTGAGTCTAACCCAGCTGAGAGCCTCACTGTCTCCACCGAACCTCTCCAGTGAAGTGAACTGAACCAGGCCTGGAGAGTGGTGGTGGAAGAACACTTGCTTTCCTCCTGGCAGAATGCCCCGGCGCTGGCCTGACCCCAATCCTGCCTGTGGCGTGGAGGTGGAGAGGAAGAAGAGGGAGGGGAGAGATGAGTAAGGGCAGAGGGGGATCCTGGCTCCCAGGGGCAGCTTTGCAATTAAAACTGAAGTCTGAAACTGAGTTAACCCTGTGTGTGTGGCATGTGCATTACCGGGGTTTGGGGTGCTCCTGGGTGTGCCTTAATGGGGGTCTGTCTCCATAGTTGAGAGGCACATCCTTTAGTTTCCCATGATTTTCAATTTTTGAAGGGACACAAAGACAGACCTAGAAATCAACTCCCACTCCCGCATTCTGAGATGGGTGGCCTGTAGATCATACTTAGAACACAGGTTTGCAGACTCCTGAAGGAGCTGACTGAAGAGGACCACCCATGTGGGCTCCTTACTCCAGACTCCGTGACTCATCCGACTTTCTGAGAAAGTGCAGCACTGCTCTGGGACCTGTACCCTGAAGCCAGTGATAGTTATCATTGTTACCATGGCTCCAGCTTCCTGCCCTTGACCTTCATCCTCTCAGTGGTATGTTTCTAAGGGACTGGCTTTCTTCCCTTAAGGGGAAGGCCCCTCCATCTCCCAAAGAGGCCTCACTTGAGAACCAAGTTAGCAGATCTTGTCCCCTAGAATTGACAGCATTTAACCAGGCCCCAAAACACACTCTGGCGCAGGGCGGGGCTGAGGGAACTCCATGACTGTGGTCATGCTTAGGAAAGGAAAATTCCCCGATGGATGAGTCCTTCTTTCCTAGGGATGGCTGTGGTCTTACAGAGCCTCTGTTCTGACAGCATTTTAGGAAGATGGGGGCAGCAGTGGTAATGGTGTACTTTTTGAATCTTTCCCATAAGAAAAGAAAGAGCAACTAGGAGAAAGACCAAAAAGCCATGCTTTTGTTTTGTTGTAAAATATTTGCAACAAAGCTAGGGTGTCAAGATATCCCTCATGGACCCCAAAATATGAACAGGGGAGTCAACTGTGGATGCTTCAAGACCCACATAATGTCGGCATCTGAGCAGAAGGTTACAGAAGGAAGCAAGGGGGCATCTGAGGGGCCTGAGAACAGGAGAACCCCAAAACTGTCTACAGGTCCTCACAGGAAAGCATCATGGGTCAGTTTTAGAACAGTTGAAATGGGAAGCAACCTAACAGATTTTTTTCCAAGGCCTCTCGCCCATGCTGCATAGTAAGCACATAATAAGAGTTTATTTAGTGTTTGTTGAATGAATAAAGGTCAAATGACATTGTTCCCAAAGATTCCTTCCAATATTTGTGGGTGGGGAGCAGGAAAAGACAACTCCTCATTTTGAGTCATGCAGCTAAAATTCTTCATACTTCCAAGGTTTATTAAATACTGAAATCAGATTGGAAGGCAGGCAGGGAGGCTGAGGCAGTTCTCTTCCTGAGCTTGTGAAAAAGAATCATCCCCTTCCATGCACTCACACTCATGCTTGCACACACACACACACCACTTGGCGTGACCTGGGAAAAAGCAGCCCGGCTGAGAGGCATGGAGGTGATCCCAGAAGCTGTTCAGCAGCTTCTCACATCAGTTTGCTCCAGACATTCCAGTCTCTTTACTGAGGATCTTTGAGATGAAGAGTAGGGAGTGGGGTCTCAGCCTAGTGTGGCTGAGGGAGGTCCAGCTCGTGTCAAATCTGTGTTCAGGAAGTAGGTGCACAACTGCCCTTTGCCTTTGACCTTGATAACACCTCTGCGGTAGCAGGTGTAGCCTAAGGCCTGCAGGGCCCAGGCGGTCTCCTCTGTCACCTGCGATTGGAGGAGGGTGAAGGAGTATGGGGATGGCCCTAACCTTATCTATTGCCCCCCTGCCTCCAATGTGGTTTCCTCACTTGGATCTTGCCCAGGACTCCTGTACTCTCCATGCGACTGGCCACATTCACCGTGTTGCCCCAGATGTCATATTGTGGTTTCTGGGCCCCTATCACTCCAGCCACTACAGGTCCGTGGTTCAACCCTGACAAAATATGGTAAAGCAGATTTGAGGAGGGAGAGGAGAAAAAAAAGCTCAAGGAACTAGGAAGAAGGGCCCGGGGGCCTTAGCAGAGAGGAGCGTGGGGCAGGGAGTGGGTGCACCTCACAGGTTTCGGCTCAGCAGCTTCCTGCTCCATCTCAAAGGATGAGTCTGGAGGGAGGTCCTGGGTTGAGCTGGGAGCAGCTAACAGAGGACATGGGGAGGGAGACCTTGGGAAGGTAAGGAAGAGGTCCCAGACGTTCCCAGCGACGGAAGGCCCTTACCCACACGCAAGCGGAAGTTGTTGAATGAGTGCTTGTTGATAACGTCCAGCTTAGACCCAAGGGCCACTGCAAATTCCACCATGGTGCCGAGGTGGCTGCAGCTTCGCTCAGCATCCTGGGAATGGGTCAGCCACCAGAATGGGTCAATGAGGGCACAGGAGTAAGGCCCGTTTATGGACCTTCCAATGAAGGTTGATAGGTAAGGAAGGAGTGCTGTACCTGCTGTGTATCCTGTCCAGAGGTGGAATTTAGGCCTGTAGCTGCCATGTAGGTGCTGCCGATGGTTTTGATCTTCTCCACCCCACTGAACTTGGGCTTAGACAGCAGCTGTATAGAGATGAGGCTGTGTCCCCAGTCTTCCTTGTTCTCTCCCTCCTCTCTCCCCAAAACCCAACCCCAGGCCTTCGGAAAATAAAGGACCAGTTGCAGGGTCAGGGATGGAGGCAGGAGGGAGAGTTGGTAGTGAACAGAGTTACTGAAGAAGGCAAAGCTGGGGTGTCAGAGGAGGAGTGGGAAGGTTCAAGAGGGCAGACTGGGTCTTATGGCCAGAAGAGCAAAGTATTTAGGAGGAGGGACTGGTGGGGAATTCTAGGGTCCCGGACATAGGATGCGGGGGACACTTAGAACTGTCACCTCATCAAAATCAGCAATGATCTCATTGAGCAGCCGGAGACATTCTAGGCCCTCATGGTTGATGTTGGATTCAGAGTAAAACTCCTTGAAGTCTGGAACCGAGGCGAAGAGGACACAGACACATTCGTAGGACTGGTGGTAGAGGTCCTGGGAAGGTGAGAAGCTGGAGTAAGGCTGGAGGCCATATTCTTTCTCCTTCTGTCATTGTGTCCCCACACCTCCACCTCTGTGTAAGAAGGACTGGGAAGGAGGTTGCGGGGAGGGCTAGGTTACCCTAGGGATATGACGCAGGAGTCAAAACAGGAAGTCCAGGAAGCTCAGAGAGTTCCAAAGAAGTTGGACCCAAAAAGGGACACACCAAGGCACATCATAATTACATTAGCCAAGATTAAAATGAAGGAGAGAATTCTAGAAGCAGCAAGAGATAAGGGGACAGTCACCTACAAAGGACTTCCCATCAGACTGTCAGTTGATTTCTCAAAAGAGACCTTACAGGCAAGAAGGGGCCGGAAAGAAGTATTCCAAGTCATGAAATCCAAAGACCTACATCTAAGATTGCTCTATCCAGCAAAGATTTCATTTAGAATGGAAGGGCAGATAAAGTGCTTCTCAGATAAGGTCAAATTCAAGGAGTTCATCATCACCAAGCCCTTATTATATGAAATGTTAAAGGGACTTATCTAAGAAAATGAAGATAAAAAATATGAACAGTGAAAGGACAGCAAACTCACAGTTATTAAGAACCACACCTAAAACAAAAGCAAACTAAGAGGATAGCTAGATCAGGAGCAGAACCATAAAAATGAAGATCATATGGAGGGTTAGCAACAGGGGAGTGGGAGGAGAAGGGGGGAGAAAGTACAGAAAATAAGTAGCATAGATGGTAGGTAGAAAATAGATAAGGGGGGCAAGAATAGTATGGGAAGTATAGAATCTAAAGAACTTGAGATACATGGGCATAAACTAAAGGGGGGAATGGTGGGGGAGGGGGTGTGCAGGGTGGAGGGGAATGAAGGGGGGAAACAGAACAACTGTAATGGCATAATTAATAAAATATATTTTAAAAAATTGGGTCTTATTGTGATTCCAGGAAGGATACATGTTTGAGGTAAAGACCACCTTATAGCAATGTGAAGGGAATCACTTCTAGAACTGGGATCATGTCAGTGGGAATTATCTTTATATCTTATCTATTGCTGAAAGGTATTAAATGAGTTAAATCAGCTTATAAAGTTCGACAATTTGCATGATAAAATAAGAGCAATAATAGGAAAAATAGGGCAAAGGGAAAATAAAGGCAAGATGGTAAAGATGGAATCAGATCTGAGGTTGATTCACTAAATGGGTTAGTAAACCCACATTAGTCCTCGATTCTGTGTCTGAGCTTTCGAGTAGCCAATGTGAAAACAGAAACAAGATCCCTTACAAGATTCCCAGTGTCTATAAGAGAAGAAACCAGAGGTAGAGCTACTTCTGATCTTGAGAGCAGACAGCAGCTGGTGGGGACATTAGGCTGTAAAATAACCTCTGGACTATTTCTTTCAACACCTCTCAATACAGGCCAAACACATTGCCATAGCAGAGGATGAGGGGGTGGTGGTATGAATAAGAGGGTACAAATATGTGGGTGACCTTCTGATGGACTGACTATAGGAAGATTATTTGAAGATCTAGAGCAGTATCATCTAATAGAAGTTTCTGTGATGATGGGAATGTTCTATAGATGTGCTGTCCAATATGGTGGCCACTAGCCACATGCTGCTTTTGAGCACATGAAATGTGGCCAGTGTGATTGAGGGACTGAATTCTCCCTCCCTCCCTCCCTCCCTCCCTCCCTCCCTCCCTCCCTCCCTCCCTCCCTTCCTCCCTTCCTTCTTCTACCCCTGCCTTTTTTTTGGTTTCAGATACAGGTTTATTTACAAGACCTGAAAATTACACAGCACACCCAAGGCAACACAGCAAGGTCATGGGTTAAGAGTGAGGGCCTAGGTTCTCAGTCTCAGCTTTTTAAAAATTTGTCAATTACAGCTGACATTCAATATTATTTTATATTAGTTTCAGCTGTACAGCATAGTGTAGCCATTTATATAATTTATGAAGCAATTCCCCAATAA